TGACCTGCATTCAGTGTTTCCTTGAGGAAATTGGAACCAGGGAGTAGACATTTCAGGCGTTTTTGGGTGGAGGGGAAGAGCAGGCAGTTATCTGCGCCCAATTTAGGCATTATGGCATCAGTTTGTGCTAACAATTTAGGGATTATGGCATCAGGTTGTGCGCACAATTTAGGCATTATGGCAACGGGTTGTGCGCACAATTTAGCCATTATTGGACCAGGTTTTGCGCCTAATTTAGGCATTATGGCACCAGGTTGTGCGCCCAATTTAGGCATTATGGCACCAGGTTGTGCGCACAATTTAGGCATTATGGCACCAGTTTGTGCGCACAATTTAGGCATTATGGCTTCAGGTTGTGCGCCAAATTTAGGCATTTTTGGCACCAGGTTGTGTGCCCAATTTAGGCATTTTGGCACCAGGTTGTGCGCTCAATTTAGACATTATGGCATCAGGTTTCGCGCACAATTTAGGCATTATTGCACCAGGTTGTGCGCACAATTTAGGCATTATTGCACCAGGTTGTGCGCACATTTACATAATATGGCACTAGGATGTGGCACAATTTAGGCATTATGGCACCAGGCTTTGCGCACAATTTAGATAATATGGCACCAGGATGTGGCACAATTTAGGCATTATGGCACCAGGTTTTGCGCACAATTTAGATAATATGGCACCAGGTTGTGCGCCCAATTTAGGCATTATGGCACTAGGTTGTGCGCCCAATTTAGGCATTATGGCACCAGGTTGCATACACAAGCTAAATTCTCTCCGGTTTCAATAGATATTGAAAACATAATGCCAACATATATGCCTTAATAATATGGCCTAGGCAAGGGGTAGACAACCCAAAAAGATTTGAGGGTCACTTTGATAGCGGTAAAACCGTTAGTTGGCTGCCTGTCATTAAATCTTGCATTAAAATATTAATTAAAAAAAGAAACCCTCTAAATAATGCATAGAAATGTTTATTCAGTCTCACTGCATATAATGAAATGCTAAATAACAAAACAGAATACAACGTAACTAATGTGACATCATTTATTTTTGCCCTCATTTTTTAAATCGATTTCTTTGTCAATTCAATGAAAACGAAATTATTACATGCGTTATTAAACAGGCATCAGCGGGTCACAAGATTTAAACGCGGAGGGCCGCATGCTGCCCCCGGGTCGTCCACCCCTGATCTAGACCTTTTGTAGTTTTATAGCAGTAGAAAGTTGTCTATTTTCCCGAGTAACAGCTTGCCCCTTTTCCCATCATGTAAGTGTTACTTACCATAACATGGTTTTTAAAATTTAATCTGTTTCAATATTTGGCTCGTTAAATGAACAATTGCGTAACTAAAGACTAAAACCCAGTTTACCAAGAATAACGATACAAAATCTAGTGATGCTTACAATGTTAAATTTAATTATAGTAATTAATTTCTTTAAAAAAAAACACAAATTTCAACATAGAGAAAAAAAAAAAACTTTATCAATTTACAGCACAGCAAGTGCAAAGGTACAATCCTCAAAACGTAAAAATATTAATTGACACACACATAAAGAGTCGAGTACACTTTTGTAATGATAAAACGCCTGGACAATGTCTATGAAAACTATCGGAAATCTCTTCGGACCAGGTAAGCTGTCGGGCTAAATGAAAGAATTAAATCCTAACATTCTCGAATAGAAATCTATAAATTGTGTTACCTTATAGCTTTTTTTCGAAAAAATAGAATGTATTCGAATGTAGACCACCTTTTCCCAGTCAAGGGAGGTGTGGGTAATAGGAGTGGCATAGCACAATTAATCAGTGACGGCAATATAAAAAAAAATAAAAAATTGTGAAGTTGTAAAATTAGATCTCTTTGCAATAACACACATGCTGTAACACAAGTGTCATTAACACTCATGTCATAAAACACATGCTGTAACACACATGTCATAACACATGACATTACACACATGTCATAACACACATGCCGTAACACACATGCCGTAACACACATGCCGTAACACACATGTTAAAACACACATGCCATTACACACATGTTAAAACACAAAGGCCATAAAACACATACCGTAACACACATACCGTAACACACATGGCATAAAACACATACCATAACAGATATGCCATAACACACATGACCTACATACATGCCTAACACAAATAAAATGGCACACATGCCCTAACACACATACCATAACACACATGCCATAACACACATGCCATAACACACATACCGTAAAACACATGCCACAACACACATACCATAACACACATGCCATAACACACATACCGTAACACACATGTTATAACACACATGCCATAACACATGCCATAACACACATGCCAAAACACACATGCCATAACACACAAGCCATAACACACATGCCATAACACACATGCCATAACACACATGCCACACATACATGCCAATCACTCCTGACAAAACACACAAAACATAACATACATGTCGTAACACACATAACATAACACACATGAATTAACATACATGCCATTACAGTAACTCTTTGAACTCAGAACGTTGGCAAGAGTAATAAAACACCGGTATAAATACAATGTGAAATTCATGAAATATACGTAGCGTAGCTATATTTCAATGCTGGTCCCAATATTTCACTAACTGTAATATGTTTAACGTACAATGACAATTCTTTATCAAAAGTTTCAAAATTTAAAATTTCGTTAGTATTTTTTAAATTATATTTTCTCTCTATTTTTAACGGTTTTTTTCCTTTGGTGGGTGACAGTTAATTCACTCCGAGTGGGAGTTGGGGGGGGGGGGCTTTTCTCCCCAGGAGAGATGTGTGAAAGAAAACACTGGTTGCAAAAAATAAATAATACAATTTAATTCTGCCACCTCCCCCGATACATATAATAAAGTTTTAAAATTTTAAATTTCGTTTGTTTTTTTTAAATTATATTTTCTCTCTATTTTTAACGGTTTTTTTCCTTTGGTGGGTGACAGTTAATTCACTCCGAGTGGGAGTTGGGGGGGGGGGGCATTTATCCCCAGGAGAGATGTGTGAAAGAAAACACTGGTTGCAAAAAATAAATAATACAATTTAATTCTGCCACCTCCCCCGATAACTATAACATGACAGGTTTTAAAGAATTTTTATAAGAAGAGTTAAGTTTGTTTCCTTTTAAAGCCTTGTTTCAAAGTTTGAGTGCATCATTTTAGTTCCCCTGTTTGCCTTGATTGCATCAAGTGTTGTTTTTTTTTGTTTTTGTTTTCTGGAGAGCGTATAGAGGCAAAGGTCAAGTCTGAGATACTGCTAGACACTGAATGCTTGCATTGAGCTGGGCGGTGCGTTAATAGCAGGGTTAGATGGGATAAGATGCTTTTAGTGGTCCAGATATGATCCGTGAGTAAACCATTGAGTTGTTACAAAGACCAGTCACTTATTTTTAATTATTATTATTAATGGTCTTATATAGATCGGTACCCCAGCACCACACCGAGCTGTAGATAAAAATAGCAAACATAATAATGACATAAAAATAACATACAATTATTTAATTAAAAACAGCCATATAAGAACAAAACAAAACCCCCAGTGCATGATTCCCTCACTAAGTGGCACTGGAAATCAGTGAAATTTCCTCATCAACACCAGCAACAGAAACATTGCAAATCCCATCTACATGCATAGGAGCCAAAATGATCAATAAATTGATCGTGGGCCCTTAAGGTATAGAAGAAGAAGAAGAAAAGCAAATGTATATTCACACCACCCACTCCAGCACTTTTACATGTCAAGCCATGGACAGCAACCAACAGCAACCAACAGCAACAAACAGCAACCAACAGCAACCAACAGCAACCAACAGCAACCAACAGCAACCAACAGCATCGTTTTTCGGCAATTGGGGGAAATCAGTCGGGATAGTAGAGTTTAAAGAGATGTGTTTTGAATGCAGTTTTGAAGGTCTTTATGGTCGGTATATTGCGGATGTGTAGTGGGAGAGAATGCCATTGTTTGGGGGCGCAGAAACAGAAAGATCGTTCACCGTATGTTTCAGGGTCTCTTCTTGGAACAGAAACAATACGCGTGTCTGCGGAGGAACGAAGGTTTCGAAGGGTTGAAGAGACAGTAAGAAGTTAAGTAAGAATGGGAGGGCATGAACCAGAGAAAAAGTTGTTACAGATAACAGATTGCTTGTAATCAATGCGTGCCTGTTAAAAAATGAACAAAGGGTTGCGGACATTGGGCAGACAGCACGAAAGCCAGAGGTGTACTAGCAAACATAAACCATTCGAGCAGAACTGATCTCTGGTGGAAACTTGTGCCAACATCCGTGTCTGGTGACCCAAATGTCGACCGAACACTGCCCCACTAAATCATGCTTCAACAGGCTAGACAAAAACAGGAATTATAATCTGGTCCGAGACAGAAGCGCGTCTGTTGACTTCATGCAGTCACATGATATTGTGGAGGCGTCTTGCCCCAGACAATATCATATAGCACAGCCTAACAGATGAAGCTGGCTGCTACTGTACTAGCCGGGCTTTTAAGAGCGTAAGCTCAAGCCTCAGCCATAATGTTGTACAAAAAAATAGCAAATATACTAATGACATAAATAAACTGCCAAAAATGACATCTGAATAGCATTTAGTCAAAATGGCCCCAGACACGCAGCGCCGCCATTTGCACCTGGGTCCCACTGGACCAATGCTATTCGGATGTCATTTGCGGTAGTTTATTTTAGTTAAACTGAAGAAATAAGTTTACAAACATACAGTCCATTCAATTATCTTTCATTTGAAACCTCATTTTGTCGTATTAGCCCAACAATAATATTTTAAATAGATTTTTAATCCCAACCTCTCACTTCTGGTACCCGGGTGCGAATAGTCGCAGCCTTAAAATAATCTTTCACAGGTTTTAATTAATAAGCGAAAAAACTGAGGGGATTTTCCGAAAAATCTTATGTTGATTAAAATCTACTTCCGTTCCTAAGCGCAAAAAAACTTAGTGCTATCCTAGATAGGGCGTCTACAAGAAAGGGAACACACACATTCTTCGCTACGTCTTCAAGATGTCTACATTATACTAGTCCTTTTAACCATTGTAAGTAATCTATGTCGTTTTGTTATATTATGTAAATATGTATTGCCAATAAAAAGATAAAATATATAGTTTATTGTTTGTTTTAAATGTGTTATTGTATTGTGTACTGCTGCACGTAGTACACAAAACAAGCCAAGTATACATATCTGAAACAGTATGATTTTTAGCCACACATGATTTTATGATAAATCGAAATCATTCTGATTTTATCTTTCTAAATTATCTGGTCCTTTGTATCGAGGGCGGTCACGTAAGTTTAGAAGAACCTTCGCGGTTTCAATGAACCGTCTTTCCAAAGTTTCAATACATTTCCTTAATCCAGATTAAAGCTTTTCAAAGGTAACGAGACATACATTTTGGTCGTGGCGTACGTGTGACATACGTATGGCATCAGTTGAACATTTATTTCTGAAAACATGTCCAATGGACTCCCTTCTCCACCCATCACCTGGCCACAGTGTTTCTCAAGCTTATTCCGGCCACCGCCCTCATGGCACGAACTCACCCCTCCACACACACAGATCGCCTTCACCCCCCCCCCCTTCCGTCTTTCTGTTATAAGCAATCTGGGAATAGACGTTTTGTTGACCCTCTACGTCAGATCAAAGAACTCATACAGAGGCGTAGCGAGGGGAGGGCAGGGGGGACAGATGTCACTGGGCGCCAGCTATTTAGGGGCGCCAAAATGTGCTTTGATATTATTTTATTGATGAAAATAGCGGGTTTGAGAGTTGAAAAAAAGAAAAAGGGGCGCTTTAAAATGGATCTTGTCCCCGGGCGCGAATCTTGTCCCCGGGCACCAAACACCCTCGCTACGCCGCTGAACTCATGCATACTCATTTTTCTATGCTAATTTTTTTATTTTTTTTTGGTTGCTTTGAGCAAAGCCGAATGGCTACATTAAACCCCAGTGGAGTACTTGGCGTTCGCAACGCCCCGGGTGGTAGCCTGATTGATTTTGCCGCCCCTAATTTACGACAACCACAATGCATACAGAAGACACATAAAAAGAAGCCATTTCAAGTATATTAAGTAGATCCGACAATGCCGCCCCAAAAATAAGAGCCCACCCCCCTTTTCCCTCGCCAGTACTAAACACCATCTTCCACCAAATAAAATAGTGAGCCTGCAACAAGGATCACCTGAACGATCTTCCACGTACAAGGGTATGATTAAAAGCTCAAACAAATCGTTATAATCTCTTAGACCAGTGGCTCTCAACCTTCCTAATACCGCGACCCTTTAATACAGTTTCTCATATTGTGGTCACCCCCAACCATTAGATTATTTTCGTTGCTACTTCATAACTGCAGAGTATATCTTTTTTTCCGATGGTCCTAGGCGACCCAAGTGAATGCGTCGTTCGACTCCCCTGGTTGAGAACCGCTGCCTTAGACCATCTAATCTGGGAAGTCGTATTTGTTGTAACAAATACGCATCTTGCATCTCCAAATTTTCTTCTGGTTGAGGCGGTCTACGGAATTAGATTACTCGAGATGGTCCTTTTAAGCTAAATAGTGTAAATTTTGAATCCAAATTAAGTAGACAGATTTAGTTTAAAAGGATTGAACTCATTCACCAGCAACTGAAATTTACTATTTAATGAATTCGGAAATTTGTTTCCCCCCTGAAATATAAGCCATGTCTTGCGCGAGTCTGCACACAGAGAGCCGCCTTGGTGCCAGAGGGCATCAGCATGAAGCAAGAAACTATGCATTCTTCTCAAGTGCCCCGTTTGGGAGTCCTAGCACCCACTAAAGTTTCCAAAGTTGTTCGGCCCCCCTGGGCTAACGTAACGACCCCAAAGGGGGTACCGCCCACTTCGAGAACCACTAGGTAAGAAGAATATGCCATACCCATACTTCAAATTTAATACAACGGCTGATAATTTAAATTTTGGAAGTCATTATGTACCATGTAGCTTGATTTATATTCTCTCGGACTTGTACTTTCACATTAACAGAACTTTTGAGTTTCTTAGAAAAAACCAGGAAAATTAGATGACTGATCAACATTTACAATGAAGGGGGGGGGGGGGGGGGGCAGCATTTTGTGTTCTTTCCTAAAGTGAGAAATGCCCTTAGGCCGGCACTGTGTCAATGGACTATGTTTACAAGGAGACTCCAGAAAGAGTATAGCGTCTTCTAAACATTAGGTCCATTTTAACATTGTGTTAACTGTTTATTTTAAAAAAAATGACTTGCCACAACATACACGCATGCACATACACATAGGACATGACATGCAGTTGCAGTGTAATGTATTTTCATGACCTAATTTGTCGTTGAATGTCAAATTTAGTTTTGTCCCGAGACAAAGTGAAAAAATAAACATGGCAACTGATAACGTGAGGAGGATATACAAGCCCCCTAGACGCCAACCTGGCGCTCTTCAGACGTTACCAACTTACCCGTGGATGTTTAACTGGCCAATGAATGCGTATGAGCGTGCACGACTGACTCATGGAGCACCGTGTTCAACCGCAGCTACAGACCAAGCATACAAAAAGGTACCAATTGTCAATATGTGTGACATTATGATGTGTTTTTTTCTCCTTTTTTTAAAGAGAAAGCGCTTATAGGATGTTAATAATTTTTTAAACAATACTTTGCAAGACACATTCATAAAAATACAATAGAGCAAGGAGGAATTTTTAAAATTCCGTGTAATGTTTCTAATGGGCCACTTACTTGTCGACTGGCAATTCTTATCTCATGATTGCTACGGCTTGTTTAGAAAGTGAGCATTGAATCTGAACCATTGTTAGTATAGCTGTTCAGGCTCTTGTAAACACTTTCGACGTATATTTATAGAGATGTGACCGACATTTTCAAGTATCTTGTTTATGTACCCATTTTTAAGGCTATTCTTAGCAGTAAAATACTTAATGTCACCGGTTGTTACGGGCTGTCTTCAAACATATAACGAAGTTAAACCTAATGTTTCTATTCTAAAAGAACTGGCAGTTCCGCGACCACACAGCGGATTACAGAACTCACCCTGAGTTTGTGGACCTCCGAGGTGGACCGTCAAATTTGAAAAACGCCACAGAATATAATCCAAAAGCGACACCTTTTCCTGAAGCATTTGGAATTCTCGAAAAACCCAAGAATTTATTCGGTACGTTGTAGGACATTTTACAAAATTGCGGAAACTGGTCTAGAGAAAGGGAAGGGAAAGGGAAGGAAGCTTAAGATTATAATCGAGTTTTATGAGTTTTCTCCTAAATGGTAAAAATTTTATAGAGATATCTAGATATGCTCCAAACAGTTTTTTCGTGTCTTTTTTTTTTTTGTTGCCTCATACACTTATGCACGGATCATACTATAGGGAGTGTGTATCACTTATGCACTGATCATACTATAGGGATGTTTGTATCACTTATACACTGATCCTACTATAGCGATGTGCTTTGTAAAACTGTGCTGTTTAAGTTAAGTGCACCCCTTTGAATCGAACACAAGAGGTGAGATATAGAGAGGAAGGATATAGACTCGAGAATGTTGGATATATTGTCATGTAGAAGAACCGTAGACTCTGAGAGGAGGGATAAATTGTCAGGCAGGAGGGATATAGTATCAGAGTGGAGGTTACATTGTCAGGTAGAGGGGCTATAGACTCGATGAGGAGGGATTTAGTGTCGGAAATGAGGTATTTAATTTGGGGACGAGGTATATAGTGTCGGTGGAGGAGCGATTTATTGTCGAAGGATATAATGTCGGGGAGGAGCAATATAGTGTCTAGGAAGAGGGATATATATATCATTTAATATCTTTCATCCTGGATTATCTTTCAGATCATTCGTCTCTTTTATTTTAACCAATGATCTCAAGCCACTTTTTCTTTACAGCGAAATGAAATATTTTACTTTTTAAATGAAAATTCATTTTTCTACTTAAGCCTAGGATGTTTTTTGTTTTTTTGGTTACACATTTTATAACAAGCCGAAATATTCTTTTTGCTTTACTACGTCGTTCTTTTCCAAGTGTTGACAACACAGCATTTGTACGCCTCCGTTTCCTGTTTACCACCTCTCTCTTTCTCTCTCTCTCCCTCTCTCTCTCTTCTCCCACAGAGGAATGTGACTACTTTGTTCAGCTGCAGAGAGACAACAAAGTATGGGACGACTGGATGAAGAGATTCGGAAAACAATATCATTACTACAATGTGGAGTAGTTTATCGTCCGCCCACCATCACAAGTTATTATACTTATTCACAGTGTATTTTGTGGAATGGTAACAATGAGATCACTACGTAGACTAGTCTTATGAAATGACAATTTATTGTTTGTTTTATTTATAAAGGTATATAAAGGAGTTTACCTAATACAGAACAGTATAGACGCAAACTAATAATTAATTTAATTTACAATGTTATCGACAAAAGGAACCACCGAGGCCTTCTTTTATACATTATTCAGCATGGACAAAACGATTTTGCAAAAAATATTTGAAATCTTATCATTTCAGCTGTTGGGCTATCAGAAGACTCAAGGTCCATAGTTTTAAAAATGTAATGCAAATACATTAGTCCACTTTTACATGTTATTATAATTTACTTAATTGGAAATAACAGAGTTAACAATTACGTGTCTACAATTCGCGTCTAAAGTGTAGAGTTGTGTTGTTATAGAGGCAGCTCCAGAACTTGATCAGAAAAAGGAGCAGATCAGCATAAGTTTGTTCCGTTCAACACACCCAACATCAGCATCATTTTTCAATAGTTAGTGCACTCACTGGATCTGTTTCATTGTGCATATGTGGTGTATGAAAGTAGATATTTGCTTTTATTATTGGCGTCTGTGGACAACCACAAGGCAAGCGTATGTAGACAAGTACAAGGCTGGCGTATGTAGACAACTTCAGGGCTTGTTGACGGCAAGCGTGTTATCACATGCCATTGACGTTGACACAATGGGTTAAGCCATGGCAGCTCAACATTTCAGCAGTCTGAGTAGTTTTAAAAAAATATGTTTTTTTGATTTCTAGAATACATCCACCTATCAATTGAACCCGTTGACAAACTGCCAATTTGAACCAACATTTTCAAATTTCGCAATTATTATTCAAGAGGGTAGCAGGCCTAATATAAAGAACAGCATACTTAGGCTTATAAAACTTCTTTAGTAATAACAAAATTCTCTGTATCAGAATTCCTAAGAAAAATGATAATTTTGCCAGAAACATCATACAGTAAGAGAGGAAATTGTGACAAACATCCCCCCTCCCTCTAAAAAAAGACCTTCATCTTCTGGATAAAGTTGTTTGTTTGATACACGTATCGATAACTTAGACGTGATCAATCGGAGAGAGATAACAGTTACAACTATTCTCGGGTGTGCTATGAAGACACTAGTGTGTGCATGACGTGAGTTCTGTCATCTCCTTATGCATATACATTGAATTTAAAAACACTTTCTTTTAGAACCCTAGCAAATTTAAAAGTTCTCCTCAACGTTAATTTGTAGCACACATCACATCATGACATCTTATGTGTATTTAATCATCAAAAGTTTGTGTAATGTGATACATTTGGAAATGTTTCAGTAAATATAAAACACATGATAGAAAACAGATTATTTTGTTATTTTTTTATGATCTCTTTCAACATGTGTGTCTCAGATGTGTTCTGTAGAATTTGAAAAGCAAGCATGCAAAGGGGGGGGGGGGTCAAAATGGCGGTGTTTCTCAAAACTTTTGGCTTTAAGAGTTTCTTTTCTTTTTTTCGTTTGATTCAGGTTTCTAAAGCAGAGGATTTATGCTTACTGGAATTTTGTAACGGCAAATAATGGAAATTTCTCAGATGTGTTCTGTAGAATTTGAAAAGCAAGCATGCAAAGGGGGGGGGGGGTCAAAATGGCGGTGTTTCTCAAAACTTTTGGCTTTAAGAGTTTCTTTTCTTCTTTTCGTTTGATTCAGGTTTCTAAAGCAGAGGATTTATGCTTACTGGAATTATGTAACGGCAAATAATGGAAATCACATTTAAGTTAGATTTGGAGTTACATAACAATTTTTTTTTTAAAACTTGGCCCACAGCCTACAATGAACGCATTTTTGTGCTTGCTATTATTAATGTTTTAAAAAACCAATAATTGTGCATTTATAAGCTGATCACCGCCTCCCGAAACTGTGTATACATTAGGAATTGTAAAATAGACGGAATTGTTTCTTGGTTGTCAAGGTTCTGTGCTGATCTATCGATACGTAAGGCGCTTTGGTTCTGTGCTGATCTATCGATACGTAAGGCGCTTTGGTTCTGTGCTGATCTATTTATACGTAAGGCGTTTTTGGTTCTGTGCTGATCTATTGATACGTAAGGCGCTTTTGGTTCTGTGCTGATCCATCGATACGTAAGGCTCTTTGGTTCTGTGCCGATCCATCGATACGTAAGGCTCTTTGGTTCTGTGCTGATCCATCGATACGTAAGGCTCTTTGGTTCTGTGCCGATCCATCGATACGTAAGGCTCTTTGGTTCTGTGCTGATCTATTTATACGTAAGGCTCTTTGGTTCTGTGCTGATCCATCGATACGTAAGGCGCTTTTTTAAAGCCGCAGTTTGAAAAAAAAAAAATTATAAAACAGAATTGCTAAAAAAAAATTGGTCGAGACATTTATTCCAAGAAAATTTTAACAATGTGTATGCAGTGTGCATACTGAGAGAGGTGTTGAGAACCGTTGATAAACAGCGTTGAGCTCCCTCGAGCTCGTAAACTTACGTGGGTGTCATACGCCCGCCTACATTCGGAAATCCAAATCCTGGTTTTTTTGCACTCAGATTCCTTCAGTGACTAACGCGTAATGTTTACAGCCAAGATGCAAGGGGCTTGACGTCATTCAAAAGTAGAGCAAGGACTTCAGTTGTGGGACCAGAACACTGACGCGTTTCCCCTCATTCTTATTTCCATAGGCATATCCTGTAAAATATCGAATTTTAGACCGGTGCTTATCCGAGCTGCCCCTTTTTTATGCTTGAATATAATTATCACATGCAATCCGCATGACATGGAGCAGAGGCGTAGCGAGGGTGTTTGGCGCCCGGGGACAAGATTCGCGCCCGGGGACAAGATCCATTTTAAAGCGCCCCCTTTTCTTTTTTTCAACTCTCAAACCCATTATTTTTTACCAATAATATAATATCAAAGCACATTTTGGCGCCACTAACTAGCTTTCGCCCGGGGACATATGTCCCCCCCTGCCCCCCCAGCTACGCTTCTGAGCATTGGCGTATATTATTATTATTATTATTATTATTAGTAGTAGTAGTAGTTTTATATAGCGCGGTACCCTAGCCTAGGGCTGGGCTCACCACTCTACATACAATTTAACAAACTTAATTATGAACGTATAAAAATTAACATACATTAATTAAATAAAACAAGACAAATGTATCTTCACGCCACCCATTCCAGAGCTCTTTACATGTCAAGCCATGGACGACCAATATCTTGGCTGGAGTGGAACTATTTTCTAAGTATCTCTGGTGAATGCCTGGTGGTTAAAATCGTGAGACATTAACGCACGTCTTTTTATTCTAAATTCTATGACCTCGCTTATTCAATGCAACATTCTCTTAAGCGGCGTCTCATTAAAACAATAATAAAATAAATCTAATTTTAAAAAAATAAAATAAAATAGGTTATACTTATTACCTACGGTTGACCAAGTAAGTTCGGAAAGTCGGAGCTCAACTGGAATATATGTCGTACTAATTCAGTTACTATATAATATAGTACTGACATTCTCAAATTAATAAATTGAGTACAACCAAGGTGTAAAAAAATACACACTATGCGTATGTTGTTAACTGATAACAGTACACGTTTTGCAATAAAGTTAGTTAAACGAAAATGAGGCTGTAGAGTTGGCCAATTGGAATGAGTCATCTCACTGAAACTTCGGAGGGTTTGAATTCGTAGACGGTATCAAGTGTCTGGCTGACCCTTAGTGCATATTAATTCAACTTGAATTTCAAGTGAAGTGTCTGAGTGTTTAAACGAGTCATGCTGCGGTATCAATTGTAAGCCTTAACTCATTATTTATGTATTTCAAGTGTCCACCACTTAAACTTACCAGTAGAAAATAGGGTGGGACCTTCCCGGCATGCTTCGACTGATAGCGACGTTGGAGGAGGGCAGAAGAGTCAACGCAGAGTTGCAATGTGATCAAGTTCATTAAACAATCCCTATGGGAGGAGGGCAGACGAGTCAACGCAGAGTTGCAATGTGATCAAGTTCATTAAACAATCCCTATGGGAGGAGGGCAGACGAGTCAACGCAGAGTTGCAATGTGATCAAGTTCATTAAACAATCCCTATGGGAGGAGGGCAGACGAGTCAACGCAGAGTTGCAATGTGATCAAGTTCATTAAACAATCCCTATGGGAGGAGGGCAGACGAGTCAACGCAGAGTTGCAATGTGATCAAGTTCATTAAACAATCCCTATGGGAGGAGGGCAGACGAGTCAACGCAGAGATGCATGTGATCAAGTTCATTAAACAATCCCTATGGGAGGAGGGCAGACGAGTCAACGCAGAGATGCATGTGATCAAGTTCATTAAACAATCCCTAAAAACAAAACTGTTGGTATAAATCCTTTATAAAATGTAATACCAGGAAATAGGGGGAGGGGGCGGTGAACAATTTGAAAACACATGCATACAAGTAAAGCGCTTTATTATCATCCCAATAAGTGCTTTCACCCCCCCCCCCTCTCCAGGCTCTCAATCGCACTGGGTTTCTTTCACACTCTTAAACTATACCAATATTCTAATGACCCGCCCGCTTTGACACGGCTGGTTGATTTCATCAACTATTTCAGAAAAAAAAACAAAATAAAATAATTCCGCACCAAACTTACTTGGGATATCTTTATTTAAAAAAAAAATAAAATAAATAAGAATCTCATTTAGCGCAGTTATCGGGAACTTTCCGTCATATTCCCCTTGACGAACGGGAAAAACTAAATTTTGGGGTTTGGGGGGAGGGGGCTGAAAATTTTGCTAGAATGTGCTGTCATCGGCAACGAGTCTATGTGCCTTGTTTCAGCTCGATGTGGGGGTGGAAGTCGCATGAGCGGGTGAAAGACAAGTTTAGTGCAAGAGTGGGGCCTACTAAAGTGAGCTGTGAGGAGACTCGGTAGACCAAAATGATGCGAGAAATGTGGCAGTGGCGTAGTTAGAATTTGTAATGCCCGGGGCGCACATGAAACTTAAGCACCCCGGGTGGACGGGACTCGTTAACCTTGGATAGTAACTCATCTAAGAGACATTGATACAATGAAACATTCCGACAACGCCTGCGACGCCCCTGGTGCCAAGCTGTATCATCCACATGATGTTCCCTTGGGTTATCCAGCGGCATGGAGGGAGGCGATTTGCTGTTGGGAACCAGCTTATGATCCAGGAAGAACAATCCCAGGCCTTGTGGATTTCGTCCTGCGAAGTCTTCACCATGGTCAGATTGGGGCGGAAGGATGCCAGCAAAAAAAAAAAAAAAAAGACCCAAGTTACCCCCTCTAAAAAAATGCCCTTTGTGGCCAGCAGCTCCCTGTGCCATTCTCTCATTAGGCCAGATAGATACGTAACAACACACTTCATGTCTTTCCCACGTAACATGCAGTTTTTTTCGATACTGTTTATGCCTTCAAAACCGTATAAAGTTGTGTACGTTTTACAAATTAAGATTTCGAGACAACGACGAGTATCGTTGACTTGATTTAAATTGCTAAAAACAACTCCCCAAAACCTATCGTCCAGACAAATGACACTAAGTTCCGTGAGAAAATTTTTTGTTCTCGATGTGCGCAATGTATTGTTTTTAAGTATTTACTGACGTGCTGGCTCTATGTCATTCCCGAAAGCGAGTACTTGTTGGCTACGTTACAACACTCAAGCCTCACTAACACTCCCCCCTCCCTGCCCCCCACTTCCGTTTTGAAGCGTGTATATAAGCCGAGTCTTGTCCGAGACGCTGGCTACAAGCTAAGCTAGTTCTGTCTGCTGCTTACCGTCTTCCAACTGCCATCTGTCGTTGGAACGATAAATATGGATTTTTATGAAAATGTGTTTATGAGGTTATTACTGTTAATGGGGCTGACGGTAGCTGTTGCCTCGCAGTGAGTATCTGTTAAACTTGATCTAGCCGTGTAGAAAGAGTGTGGTTGTGATTGGTATATGCAATTTAAAGTTTGGCTTGTGCAGTAGTTTATCTTTTCAAACAAATCTTTTTTTAATGCTTAAAACATATAGGCCTACGCCCTATTCCGTACAGTTGTGTGACATTAATACCTGAGGTATAAAAATTTAAAACATCTGGCTAATCTTTAAACGTCTCTTTAGAATCGTATTGCTGTATAGTTAAATGTAAGCGCGATGGTGAAAAAACAAACAAGTGATGGAGACTTTGATTGTTCACGACCATCATTTAATGTCAGGTTCTGTCTATTCTCTTTTACAACTAATATCTCTAGCTTCATGGAAATCGACTGTGTTATTTTCTTACTAATTAATGGAGTTGGGGAAAAAAATAACCATGTTCACATATTTTGTTATTATTTAAATATCTTGTAAAAATTATATTTGACAAAAACAGAAGGAAACACGAGTAGTCCTCTTTTAAGGAGTAATTTATTTTCCTTTCCAATGTGGAACTCATTTTAACAGCAACACGGGGAGGACTGGGTTCAGGGTGAAGCCAATAAGAAGCCAAGGGTAGTGGAGAACCATGAAGCACAACTCATTTTAACAGCAACACTGGGAGGACTGGGTTCAGGGTGAAGCCAATAAGAAGCCAAGGGTAGTGGAGAACCATGAAGCACAATTCATTTTAACAGCAACACGGGGAGGACTGGGTTCAGGGTGAAGCCAATAAGAGGCCAAGGGTAGTGGAGAACCATGAAGCACAACTCATTTTAACGCCCACATAAAAGCTGTCGCTCTACTGCACTGTGATAAAGCTTTACGCTCACGCCAAAGCAAAACAACAAAACATGAATCTACGAAACTTTTATTACCCGGGCTCTATTCCCGTTATTGATTCTGAATTCATTTGTCCCGTTTGAAAAAGCACTAAAAGGTCTAGAGAATTATTTCTTTGAAATCAATAAGATGCGTTTTGATGAATGTCATTATCGTCGTATGTTTTCATTTTTTCTGGTTCAAGCACACCAGAGACCTCAAAGCAAAGTTAAAACACATTTAAGAACAAATTAAAAACGCCTTTGTCTATTTCTGTTTCTCTAGCTTCAAAATGAAATAAAAATATTTAAAAAATGATACTAGAACTCTGCTGTCACTATTTAGCCGGGCTAAAATCCCCCAAAAATCTCAATCGTGTCTCTGAGATGGTAAATCAAAAAATGTAAATCTCTGCGTTGAAGAAGGATTCGGGGGATCGGACGATTTTTTAATATTTTTTTACGGTACTTTTGGATCCGATGGTAACAGACGATTTGAGCAATAAACCGAACGTCGTGACGTAACTGGCTGGTCACCACCTTTTGTTTTATCCAGACATATCTGGCTTGATCGATCGTTTCGTGGAACAGATTTGATCAGACGCAACTGTCAAGGGACAAGGTCTAATCTTGGTCTAGATAAACACATCTTGTGAAGTAATTCCAAGCAGGGATGGTTCTGAAATTTGCAATGAAAAGAGGAAACAATAGGGCAAAAGTCGGCTCTCTTTGTTATAAGACAAAAGGCCACTTACTACAATGCAGAAATAATTATGTCATGGTTTTATTACGTTAATTGAGGTTAATATTGTATTTCACAACTCTCAAAACAGCATGAAGCGGCATGGGAAAGATGTACAGTCTGGCGTGGGAATGATGTACAATCTGGCGTGGGAAGGATGTACAGCCGTACAGACAAAAAAATTACTTTGGAAGTTTTAAATTTAAAAAAAAAAAAAAAAATTCATTGTGATTATTGAGGGGTTTAAAAATTCGTTTTCTAATCATCATTTTCGAAAATCGTTTTTAAAAGAAATTTTTGTAACGAAATTATCAGCAAACGGACGGGTTAGACTTAAATTTACTGTAAATTATGAAAATATAAACCTACAAATATAGGTTTTGTCACCAACACAATTTAGTAGGTGGCTGGTTTAAACAGGTCAATCTTAAGCTGGGGGCAATACGATAGAAAGAAACATATTCAGGATTTTTCGCGCTAAGCGTTTTCGCGTTAAACATATTTCCCTGTAGATAATAAATATGAAATGTCAATTTATTTTTACATTTCAAAAAATTTTAAAATCTGCGAATCATTCTCGTTCAATTATAAGCTTAATGCTTCAATGTGGATTTTGTGTTTTTAAACTAAAGAGTGGCGGAGTCATCTTCGTTGCCTTTTGTCTAGTCCAGTGAAAGGTCCGAGACGATTGATCTTTCAGCTGGAAGCTGGTCTTCCTGTCCCTTGGGTACACACTTTCTAATGAGCCGGGGTTCAGGGTGCTTTGAGGGATGATTCGTTTCTCTCCCATTGGCGTTAACCCGGGGCGAATTCTATCAAAGGTGTAAACATAGAGGATATTGTCAAACAGAAGGTTTAGGCGAAACTTGATTAACAGGCTTCAACTAGTTGTTGTAATTATACGAATATCAAGCAATGGTCATTTTTAGACCACTTTCGTTCAGAACTATTGTATGCTGAGATATGTTTTTACAGATGTGTGCATGGGCGCCCGCAGAAAACTTTCTAGGGGGGGGGGGGGCAAAAAATGGTTTAATTTTCCAGGGGGGGGGGGAAAAAATTTTTTAATTTTTTAGTAATGTTTTAATGTAGTTTTAATTTACTGTAGCGTATTTGTATGGTGAACGAACGGACAGGACATCAGCTTAGTTACTTTCTCTTTATTTTCTCTTTACTTTAATAAATTTTTGGTCTATTTTTGTCTAATTTTTTTTAATCCAATCAATCGGGGGAGGGGGGGGGCAAGTGCCCCAACTTGCCCCTACCTCCGGGCGCCCATGGATGTGTGCAACATTTAAGGAACTAAATTAAATGCTACTGTCTTCTGGCTCTATGGCTTAAGTGACTTTCAAAAATTGAGAGAGCAACACTGTCCTGTAAATTAAGAAATGGCAGGATCTGTATTTTGGGGTTTTAGTAGAAATTTCAAAATTTGTGTGAATTTGGTTTACTGATTTGATATAATAAGCAACTTATTCAGTAAAATATTATGAAACGGGTCAATCACATTGTCATTGTTAAGTTTGAGTACCCCAGCAATGGTACCATTTAAGTCAACAAGAGATCTACTAGCTAATTAAAATCCACAAGTTGTTTGATGACTGACATTGCACATTCAGCACCAAAGAAAAGACAACTTGTTAAGAAAATAACGAGTGCGTGGTTTCTTAGCTCTAAAGTTTGAGCTCACATCTCAAGATTCAGACACACGCAAGTGCAATGAAGAGCGCCCTCTTCCGGTCCCTTGACGGTTTCCTGCCAGAGGGATAGCTCTGACTGGCACGGGGTTTTATGTACACGGCAATCATCATGTCCGAAGATTTACAATACGGTAACACTGCTCAAATTTCCACGTCTGCTGGCGCTTTCTTGTAGTCATGCTTTAAAAAAAAACAGCTGTGGTTATTAGGTCAATAAAAATGGGATCTTGATGCCTAATGTATTGATTTAATAATTCTGAGGCCAGTGCCACTGAGTTTATAATAAAGCCTAGTAAATCAAACGTTTTATTGTGTGCTCCTCTTAACTGACTTTGATGTCAATAAATCCATTTTATTTTTCTTACAGCAGAAAACAAACAATTAAGGACATGCTTAGGGAGGAGGGGGTGGTGTTGTTTGCTGTCCTTAGGGGTGTCATTTAGGAAGGGCAGGGTGGGGCATTTGCCCGCCCCTCTCATAAATTTGCAGGTTTTATTTAAATTGCTGTGTACTGTGACTCCTCCAGTAGTAAACAACTTAACAAGGCGACCAAGTTTAAGTTTTGTCCCCCTCCCCCCTACCCCTTTTTGGAAAAATCTGAAATGACGCCCTTGGCTGTCCTACGAGTTATAATCCATAATGGACGGCCAATAGAGATACATACAATGTGTGATAAAAATGATCGGACCAAAAAGAAATTAAGATGAAATGGGTCACAAAAGTAAAGACTAGTGTCACTGTATCGCTTATTAAACAATATACAAACCTACTTTACTGTCAAACTTGTAAAGCTCTTAGTGGACAAAATGATATTCACTATCTTTTTTTCCATCGACATTTTCCACGGGCCACACTCTCTGACGCAAATCTTTCCACACTCGAGCTTGCGTCGCTCCCTAATTGTCATAAATGTTTGCCTCGTAGAGTTACGGCTATAGATGGCGGCCATTCTATTCATCAAGTTTTTCTAAGCTTCTGTAAGACTCATTAAAAAAAAAAAAAAACAATATTAAATTGCTGAGATGTTGTGAGTCAAGAACGCTAAAATATTCCAGCTTACTGCTAAAATAATTCTTAATTTTTCTTTTTTTAAATATTTCATTTTTTGAGTGACAGTTGCTCTAATTTACATGCTACACAACTATGAGGGTTTCTGAAATTCAAAGTCTTCAAAACGTAATGGTTACCTTTTCTTCAAAAACAATACAAAACAATTATTGTCAAAACAAACCTCATTTTAAGTCTTGACACAATATCGTATGTAAATGTGGAAACAATAGCATAGGAACATATATTAAAATAGTAGTACTATACAACACAGTAGTAGTACAATTAAAGCACAGGAGTAGTACATTACATCACAATAGGAGTACAGTACAACACGGTAGTAGTGCAATAAGGCACAGTAGTAGTAAAATGTATCACAGTAGTAGTACAATACAACACAGTAGTAATACTGTACAGCACAGTGGTAGTACAATACAACACAGTAGTAGTGCTTTTCAGTAAAATGTAAAATTAATTCAGTTGAGCATTTGACCCTTCTCCTTATCTAAGGCTTACGTATGGAGCGTATTTTAAGACGTGGCTGATCAATCTTGGTTAGCATTAAATTTTGACCCTTCACTTTATCTAAGGACTACGTAGTGAGCGTATTTTAAGACCTGATCAGGGGTGGACTGGGGAGTTCCAGCGGCCCGGGAACAAAATCTAAGCGGCCCGGGAAAAAAACAAAAAGCGGCCCTATCTTCATGACTTTTATTTGTATTATATCACCGGTCCTAGCGGCCCATCGGGAATCTTCCCGGTGTCCCGGCGGCCCAGTCCACCCTTGCCCGACTGATCAATCTTGCTTAGCATGTGACTTTTCCCCTTATCTAAGGCCTACGCAGTGAGCGTGTTTTAAGACCTAGCCGGTCAATCTTGCTTAGAATTCGCCTCGATTTTTCAGGGGTTTTCTATTCACCATGCCAAAAGCTCTTCGCCAAGGAACCCATTCGCAGTTCTGCTTGACGATGTATGGCAGTAAAGAGTACACCTACCCAATCACGATGAAACTTCTGAGAGATGAAAAAGAAAGTCTGGCGATTTCAGACGTTTACACAGCTGGTAAGATTTCCTAGTCATATACAGACTAAAGGTCATTGGAAAATGCAGCACCGACTAGTCTAATTTGTGTAGGCCATTTACTAAACATTAGTATAGTCATTAGTTGTGTGCCTTCTGTGTATTAAAAACAAAATATAACCGAAGCCTTGAATAAACGTTTAAAATTACTTTACAAATGTTTCAGTAAAGTTTAATTATTATGGAATGTGCAGTTTTGACCCATGGCTTCCTAAATTAGCTATGGAAAACTTTTTCAGAGGAACAGAAATGCAAGAAATTCCAAGTTCCTGAGAGTGGGGCTTATAAACTTTTATTATCCAATGAGACTGGCACCATCCAGGAACCAGTGGATATAACTGTTCAAGCAAGTAAACTCATCACGTTTGTACAAACTGATAAACCAATGTACAAACCTGGACAGACAGGTAGCTAGCGATCATTCATTTTTTGCAATAGTTATTTTGGCCTATTAAAGTAATAAAGCTGTTACAATAATATATCCCACTATTATGTTTTGATTTCATTTGACTAAATAAGTATTATGTCTTTTTTTTTAAAACAAAAATTGGGGGAGGGGTTAAAATAACCGGTTTATTGAAGCCAAATTAAACTTTCATTTTATAATACTTTGGAGTTCATTAGTACATATTACCTGTATCCTTATCATTAAAACAAAATTTTCAAGACTAATTTTCATTTTTCTAAATTCCCTCAGTTAAATTTCGAGTGTTCACTCTAATGAGTAATCTAAAGCCAAGATTGGGACAGGTAAGCAGATGTTATAATTTTAATTAATCATTGAAAGTGATAACAAATTTTTAAAATGTCAATAAAAAAGCACTGTACTATATAATTAAACAATAAAAATGCGTTCAAACAGAAATTTGGCGCACAATTTTAACGTGTGAACTGAAAAATAGGTTCGACCAAATTTCCGTTTGATCAAATTTTAGTCGATCAATTTTCCGATAAAATTTCTTTCAAACAAATTTCCGGATACGCAATATCAGAGAACATTTTATATACATTTTAAAAAATATTACTTTGATAGAAATGTGACTACACATTTTTTTTTTCCAATTATCATTTTCAGATAAAGAGTATTTATGTTAAAGACCCGAATGAGATGAGAGTGAAACAGTTTTTAGATGTCGAGACAAAAGGTAAAAATAAGAAGACCACAAAGAAAAATCATGTTTAGATTAATCAGACTGTGACTGCTGCGATTTTACTGGAAAATTAAAAGAATTTTAAAAATAAGTCTTTTTATATCATAGTTACATATTACCTATTATTCCTTGTAAAATTAAATTGTACAAATTAATGTGGTAGACCTAGCATAGGTTACAGTTATTGAGACATAATAGTTTCGAAAAATACTGTTCTTCCCTTTTAAAGAATAAAATCAGAAAGAATGTGTCTACTGGTAGTTTACGACTCACTGATAGCCTCTAGGAAGGGCAGGGAGCTATTTGTAGTAAACTACCAATAGCTTCTAGAGAGCTATTGGTAGTCCAGCCAATCAAATCAAACCAAAATCTTAGCTTTAAGAATCTGCTTCCATTGAGACTGTCGAAGTATTGCCCCGTTCATTTATTACTAGTTTGTACTAGTGACAACACCTTGGCACTTATTATAAAATCTTATAGTGTTGTTTTAAAGTTTGAACACTATCTGCTGTAGCCCTCCCCATGCTCAGATTTGGCTATCTTGCTATATAATTTATAAATAAACCTAATATAGATCTTAGGATGTATGATACTGGGGGGAAGGGGATTATAGTCTGAAAAAATGTTACCCAGCTACTTCTTTGCCAAGGCCAAAATAAGATGTGCAGTCAAAATAAAATACAGCTCTAAACATTTTGTATGTGCTAACTATTATGATTAAAATTATTAATTAAAATACAGCCCTAAATAATTAGAAAATAAGAAGTTTTACTGCATACAATGAGTTCATATTAAAAACAAAATATTGTTACTTTAGTTAGGCCTAAATGAAACTGTATTATTTCGTGATTAGGCTTAACGATGATAAAAATTAAAATAAGCTTAGGCCAATCATTGTTTAGAAAGATGGTGAAATGAACCAACACCACCCCACACCCCCTTACCCTGCTTTTGATTTTCTGTTGTTGGAAGAAATGTCTACCGAGTGTTATTTACATAAATGAGCCCTCATCAACTTATAACGGTATCAATATATTTTTAAGTACAATTAAAAACTTTCATTGGGTATATTGTGCAAACATAACCCAAATTAATCAATTTAATGTCTAGAAATCACTAATTTTTTAAAAGTGCTATGGAGAATCAGTGTTTTAAAATGCTTATAATTTTGATGAAAACATAAGCAGAGATAAATAAATAAAATAAAATATATACAAAGAAAAAAAAATGAGTGTATTATGTCTTGAAAATCCGATTGGAGTGAATTTATGAGACTAAATACAAACAATAAATTTTGTTGGCACATATTTTTTTTTTTTTGTGGCAAGGTACATAGGCCTACTTGAGAGTGATTTCAGTGTTGTAATCAAAAATAAATTGTGACTACCAATAATTATTGCGCTGCATCAATATATCACCAATTGGTAGGTTTTTTTTATAGTAAACTAGCAATAACCGCTTAGAAGCTACTGGTAGTGGAGTACCATTAGCTCACTAGAAGCTATTGGTAGTTTACTACAAAATAGCTCTTTATTATAATAAACTACCATAAGCCACAGGCTGTGGCAAAGCCAATCAGAAACGGTAAATCAAACTTTTTAAAATTCAAATTTGAATTAAAACAGTCTGATTTACCTTATAATGAAATTAAATTTTTGCCTCGTCACATTCTCATAAATTTTAATTAAAGAAACTAAATACTGTTCAAAATAAAATGATCATTTTATTTTGCTATAATAACAGGAATAGGCAGTTTTGAGTTTCAGCTGGTTGCAGAAGCAAAGCTGGGCCAATGGAATATTGAAGTTGTGGTTGACGAGTCAGATGAACAAAATAATGAAATTTCTGTTGCATCATTTGAAGTAAAAGAATATGGTAAGATATTTTTACTATATAATTCTCTATGTCTATATATATTACCTGGTATTACTGGTATTGATACTTTATAGCTGTTATTTAAAATGTATTTGAGCTAAAATTTGATTTAAATTTAAATACCATTTAATTTTTGTTTGTTCATACACTAAATCTACTAAATGAATTCAAACATTTGTATTCATTCCCCATAAAAATTAAGATATTTATTTTTTACATATTGTTTCTTTATTCCTTTATTCCAAAGTGCTCCCTCGCTTTGAAGTGGTTGTATTTCCCCCAGCCTACCTGCTTCATACTGATGAGAATATTGAGGGAAAGGTTTGTGCCAAGTAAGCTCAATCAATTCTTCAATTCCATAGCTACTACTGTTTTATTTGAGAGAGTGATTTTTAAATATTTCTCCCAATAAAATAGTAAACTGATATAGATATATAATTATATAGGCCTATATATATATATATATATATATATAGACACACAAACACATAATTCAAGCTTCTACAACCATTGTTCTAGTGAATGTAATTCAGCCTCATTTGAGATTATATATCTCTCAATAAAAAAAAATAAAGATATATATATATATATATATATAGCTATATATATATATATATATATATATAGACACACAAACACATAATTCAAGCTTCTACAACCATTGTTCTAGTGAATGTAATTCAGCCTCATTTGAGATATTTTAAAATGATTTCTACAGCTATACATATGGGAAGCCAGTTACAGGGTTTCTGGACTTGGAGTTGTGTTGGATGATTCCTTATGGCCCCCCTAATGGACCTTGCTCAACTCAAACTGTTGAGGTTAGCCAAAAGGGATATCTCTTAATAACTTATTAATATTATAGAAATAGTATAGTATAACAACAGCTGTTAGCAGAAAATTAACATTGAAAGTAACTACATTCAGGTGTCTTTAGCTTTCCTTTATTTTTCAGTTCTCTTTCCTCCAAATTAGCAACAATAGAAAATCAATTTGAAATTCAAAGTATTATTTATTATCCTAACCAATGTGTTCTCCTACTTAAGATTTCTGGCTGTTATGAATTCTCTGTGCCTGCCACAGCAATAGCTGGATTAAGTAATAGCTACTATGGACGTTTGAAAATCCAAGCATCTGTAACAGAGCAAGGCACAGGAGCAGTAGTAAACAAGACCCACGAGGGCCTTTCCTTATCCTACCAGCCATTAAAAATTGAACTGAAAGACTTTACAAATGGATACTTTAAACCTGGTCTTCCATTTTATGGAAAAGTAAGTAATATGGAAATTTCATTTAAGGTAACTAGAATAAGTAATGGAATCAGGCAACTCATTTCAACACTATGGGATATCCAATCAGTCAGACATAAAAAAATGCAAGCATTTCCTTTATATAAAATTGGCTTACTAAACAGTCATGAACTCTCAAACTGATCCCATTTTATCCCCACCTTAACAAATTCCTAAAATAATCAATCCCTTTCACACCCATATGTGTTGTAATCATGTTAGGTTAAGTATTTTCATGGTAAAATGCTTTATTAAAATTCCTAAGGTGCTACTCTTACATAAAACAGGCTTAAAAGTTGAGGGAAAATTAGCTTAAATTAATTCGTGTTAAATGTATTAGTTTTAATCAGGGCTCAAAATATGGTAAAAAAAATGTAACACTAGTTCTCAACAAAAAATTTTACAAAGAAAAGTAAATTATTTAGTTCCATTCTTTTCAATTAGATTATTTTTATGTCACTTCAAAGAGGTAAAACAGTAAAGGTGTAAATCTATTAATTGTATTAAAATGAAAAAGGGAAAAAAGTTTGTTGTTCTAGATTAAATATATGCATTAACTCTTTGAATAGTTAGAAAATACTAAAAAAGAGAATAAATATAGGAACCCGAAATATCAATACATTGATCATGGGCCCTTAAAATATAGAATAAGAAGAAAATCCTATCAAAATAAAAAAATTGTTCTCTTTATTAAGAAAAAGGCCCAAGGCAGTGCAGAGTTATTTGGACTCAAGAATTTTGACATTGAAACCAAAAAAGAAAAATATAGCCCAATATAATATAATAACATATGTAATTTTTTGCCACTATTATTTTTAAAAAGCTTTTTGTGATAATTATATAACATTAAACCACATGAATTTCTTGCACTAATAAGCTGATAGATTTATTATACCTCTTCTAAATAAATGGGATTAAAAAATCTGTTTCTGAAGAAATAAAAATATTATGTTATTTCAAATGAGTTATTTATGCCTTAGATTTGACTCAGCACATTCCCAAATAGCATCAGTATTGTTTATGTACACATTGTCTAATTTAAAAGATTGTATTAATTCTTCTAGGCAATTGTTACTAAACCAGATGAGACTCCAGCAGTTGGAGAATCAGTTCGCATCACTGCAGATGATTATAAGAATAATCTAAGATTCTCCCAAGAATTTGTGACTGATAGTTCAGGAACCATCATGTATGCCTTGTGTGGAGGATTTACAGAGAACACAACATCAATAAGCCTTGATGTAATTATGAGTTGTCGACATATTAGCTTAAAAGTGCTATAATTAATCTTGAGTCACAATAAGAATATAAATAACAATTTTAATTTTAAAATATAGACATTTGTTTTATTTTTAATGATAAATTATGATTGAAAAAAATTACTCTTTTGTTTTGTGGGTTTGATACTAATCTTTATCGATATCATCAAAGTAATTGAAAGTTTCAAAGAACATAATGTTATTTGTAGATCTGTCAAGAAATAATACTAAAGAGACAGTTATTGAAACAATGATTTATTTTCAGAATGTACAGTTGTTTCCTATTTAAAAGTTTTCTCAAACTTAAAGACTAACACATTAATTTTTATCAAGAAAGACAACTTTTTTTTAACACTACTGCATTTTAAGAATATGCCATTGTGTTCCCTTTAATAGTTTACTACATTTTTTCCCAGGGTCATTTTTGATGAGTAATTTTTGTCTGTTAAGTAGAAATTCAGTATATTAATATATTAAGAACATATGATCACTCTACAGACTTCTTATAATCAATCAATATTTTTAACAACAGGCTGAAGTGTTAAAGTACAGAGGCAGCCGTCAATACATGCGTGACTATAGACAAATCAAGCAATGGTTTTCGCCATCTCTTAGTTATTTGCAAATACCAAGGAATGACTCCCGTCAAAAGTGTGGGTCCAGTCTGAAGCTGAACATTCCATTTACCACCAGAGATGACACGACTCTACAGTTTAACTATCAGGTAATTTTAATGAGGTCAAATAAATTGTTTAGGTTGTATCAAAATTATTTTTTCCCCCATTTACTTTTCTTTTCCTTTAAATTTATTCATTTGAAAAGCCAGGCTGAGTGGTTAAACTCATATTTTTATAAAATGTTTTCACTCTAAAAAATAATTATTGTGGAATAAATATTTGTAAGTGTAAGTTTATAATAATTATATTTACACTGGCAATTGTGTTGTTAGATGATTGGTGGTACTGTTTAATTTTAAAAGGATTGGCTTTATCTTTTCAATTTTCATAAACATTCCAAAATAATGCACTTAAAAAAAGAACATCTTATTATTTTTCTTTGCTATTTTTAAGATTTGATATTTAGCTGTTGACTGAAGGACTGCAGTGAGATTTTTAAAAAGATAAATGGTATTTATGCATCCTCTTGCTTCTAAGCATATGCCTTTTAGGAATTCATAAATAATTTTTAAAACTACATATATATTTTTGAAACAGACTATCAATTTATATATTTTTCGGATAGGTGATGGCTCGTGGAAACGTCATAAGCTCTGGTATAGTCAATTACAATGGGAAGACTGTTAATTCAGTTATTGTTAATAACCCAGCTTCAGAAACATGCCTCAAGCAGGAATTCTTTACACCACCTCCTGAAGATACCAAAAGGGCGGAAGTATTCCCAGATGTGGTCAACACCGAGAACAAGGAGGGTATTACCGATGTTGCGGAAAAACCCTTAAACTCTAGTGAAGATCTGGACACAATCACTCAGCAGATAATGGATCCACAAAATTTTAGGAGCCGTTTCTCATATCCTATTGGTATGTATATAAAACAAATACATCATTTACATTTACTACAGTCACATAGCTAGTCTAAGTGCTACCCAAGGTAGGCCAAGTCCTTTGTCTTCCATGATTAAAACTATGGTAATGGCCAATAATGCTGCCCCATTTATATACATTTAAAAAATGATGCTCTCTCACTCCTATGCCCCTGCATTTACCTTGTTTTATTTATCCCTTTGACCATTTATGTTAAAAGAAATGCATTGAGTCAATTTTTTTTTTAAACTGGTAACTTAAAATTTAAATAAAATATATTATGTTATGTCTAAATTTTCAGATCATAACCCATACACAACCCCTGATTTCCAAGAAGACATCATCAGACCAAAATTCTTGTCTAACAAAGTGTCCAGCATCTTCTTAGATTTACCCATTACAACAGACATGTCACCAAGTTTTACTCTGTTGATCTATCATGTCATGCCAGATGGTGAGGTGGTGGCTGACAGTATGCAATTTTTGGTGGATCCTTGTTTTGATAACACGGTAATGAAATTATAAATGATAAAATAGTTATCCAAAAAGTCTATTAACAATCCATTAAAAAACAAAAAAAGCTTTGGACATCTAGATTTAGAAATACATTTTGTTATTCTTTGAGAGTTGCGTTTTTAAATATATGTGACTTGTTTTAAAGCCATATGCAGCTTAATATTAAAGAATTTATAGTAAATAGGTAGACCATATACATTTGCATAAATGGATTCTTAAATAATATTGTAATTATACATTATCTTTAAAGGTTAAAATGGCTTTTAGTGAGACGTTAGTTCTGCCAGGTAACAAAATTAACATCAATCTAAAAGCTGAAGCTGGATCAGTGTGTGGTGTTGGCATTGTGGACAAGAGTGTCAATATTTTAGGTGGCAATCATCAAATTACACCAGATTTGGTAAGATCACCCCCAGTATCTTTATTACTTCTTATTTTAATAATACATCTAGAAATTGCACTTTTACTTCTTTTTTCAAAAGCAACTAATGTTTTCAGTCTATCTCCTCAAAAATAAATATATTTTTTAATAGATATTTCAGAAGATTGAAGAGTTCAATGTTGTGACGTCAGATTATTATTATGACAATTCTTATTGTGAAAAGCGGATGAAAAAAATTGAAGGTATTTAATTTTTGAAATGCTTGTAACAAGTTTTCTTTAAAATTCTTTAGTTTCTTCTAATTGTAATAAGGTTAAATGCCATCGTTACACATCTTCATTTTCTGTTGTGTATTTTTGAGAGGAAAAAGACCACTTAGTTTATTTATTTTTATGTTCATTACTTAAATAAAAATAATATATTTACACTTCTATTTAAGCCAATGAAAACCAAGATGAGAATTTTTCATTCTGGCACTACAGCTCTCCTTATGTTGATGCCATTCAAGCTTTTGTGGTAATAATAAAAATATAAATGTTAATAAGCACTGTGTCATTTTAGTATGAGCACAAGTTACATTCAAGCTTTATAAAGTCCTACATTCAGCTGTTTTTTTTGTTAAAATCACAAATCAAAATTTTTTACATAAGCTTTCAATGGTTTTAAATTACAGAGATATTTAAATTTTAAAAATTTCTATACAAGGTAGTAAAACAGCTCTTTAAATGATTAATATAAAGTAATTAAGCATTTATGAATTATATAAGAAAAGCCTTTTTTTTCTTTTTATCTTATTCAGTCATCTGGATTCACAGTGTTAACAAATTTACAGTTGGAAACTAGGCCATGTGGGCGCAGTCATCCTGTATTTTATAGTGAGGGTGGTAAGATAATTATTTATATCATTTTTTTTCCTTCCAAAAGACGTAACCCTAAATGAAGAAGATTTATTTCATTAATTATACTTTTTAAGAACAATCACATAAATTAACAGAAAATCCAGAGCGCCCACATTAAATATGTTTTGCCCCATTAACTCAGGTGACTCCTAACAAAAGTATGCCTAATCTTTTTAAATGATTATGTTAATAGTTAATAAAATTTACTTGAACAAAGTTATGATTAAAGAGATGAGTTTAAAATTGAAATCAGTCTGCTTAACTTGCAGTAGATAGGGATTCGGTAAATAAAATTACTTAGAAAATGTAAATTAATGATATTAAAATTTTAATATCATACAAAGTCTGACTCCAAAATAAACAACAATTAGAAACAAATGAGATTTTTTTTAATAAATAAGAGTATAATGGATTAATTATATTAAATTTTTTTGAACAAATTCCATAACTTTAAATTTCAAAAGAATTTTTCATGTTGAATAATAAAAAACTTTTTTTTTTTCACATAAATCGCCTTAGATACATATTAAAACTTAAATCTTACTATTGAATTCAGAACATCATGCTGAACTTAAAAATGTTATCAGAATTTCATTAAATCATCAGTTACTGCACTTAATTTATATAGACAGCTAACTGCAGAAATAATAATTAAAAAATAATTTTAATTTTAGCATCTGTATTCACTTTTGCAAGAACTGTACCTGATGTAAATGCCCCAGTTGAGAACACCCTGAAAATTAATTCACTGGTTCGTAGCAATTTTCCAGAAACATGGCTCTGGGATTTTGTTATTGTAGGGTATGTGTAGGCCGCCATACACTATTGCCAACTAAATTGCATTATCTGTTTGGAAAAAATTTAATCTTTTAATTATGCTCCTCTTGCAGCATGAAATATTTTTCCTTTTCTAAAAGATTCATACAAGATCTAAAGTAGAACTCTGCTTAATATTGTTCATTTCCATTACTAATTTTGATAAAGAAAGTTGAAATGCTGACCAACATTACAAACTGATTTAACCTGTATGAATCTATCACTACTTCTTTATACTTATTTGTTTATATATTATTATATAAGAAAGATCTGTAGCTAAAGCTACCAGTACTTTCTTTTCATTTCCACTAAGCTGTTAATGTAATAGAATATGTAATAGTTAGAATGAGATAGCATCTCAAGTCTGTGTAACAACATTCTGGATTCTATTTATGTTTATACACCACATCACTTGATCATTCACTCCAGGTCTCCAACCAATATTAGCACATTTAAGTTTAAACATAAAAATTTATGAAAACAACTCATCACATGCAGTGATACACCAACACTGGACAATCAGGTCTAAATTTCAATCAATACATACAAGAATAATCGTCAGTCATACATACTGTTGCAGTTAACAGAATGAATTACCACATTAATATTTTTAAAATTTGAGTTTACATGAGTTTTCCCCTCTATTTTTATTCTACTTGATCTTGTGCTAATCTACTGTCTTTCTAACCCAGCTATTAGTTTCTACTGTCTTTCTAACCCATTTATTAGTTTCTACTGTCTTTCTAACCCAGTTATTAGTTTCTTCCAGCATGAAACTGTAATTCTAACTGCTTTACTTCTTTTTCCTTCTTGTTGTCTCCTTATTCTGGGGTTCTCTTCTAGGCAGAGGGTTTGGAAGATCCTTTGAAGAATCAGGTGATACAATCTTGCTTACAGGAGAATCTCCAGTTCCAATTTTTGGAATACCTGAATTACCCCACAACAAAGGAATGAACAGAAATTTGGCACGCACAAATTTTCCAGAAACATGGCTATGGGAATTACATATTATTGGGTAGGTTTTTGAAATAATTTTAGTAAATTTAAGCTACGTTCATGCAATATTAAAGAAATATTATTACGGGTAACCATGCCATCTCCTGTTAGTAATTTCCCATTAATTTCCCTTTGCTTTTGCTTATTTTCTACTCTGTTTTATAAACTTTGCTGCTGCATCTGCATGTCTTCAAAACTTTGTTGGTTAAAAATTTGTTACTTATATACAATGAAATTATTTATGGTTAAGAAGTAAAATAACAAAATAATTCTATTTAGTTATTTTGTTTTATTTTTAATTATTTAAGGATTAATTATGTTTCTTATTATAGGTTTATTATCCTTCTGTCTTAAATTGTTTCAAAAATTTAAAAACAAAATGTTAATTTTATTTTTAAAATAATTTTAATTCTAAGCATTTTTTTATTAATCTCCTCGCCTTTCATGTTTCAATTTATAGATTATATAAATTAATTATTTTTTTTAACTCAAAATTTATCCATAATTATAATATTTAAAACACAAAAAGGAGTTTTTGTTACTTATAAAATCAAAATCTTATTATGGATCTCTTTTTTGAACCAAAATTATTAGTACATTATGTCTTTATCAGTGAGACAGGCCAGTCTAACATTAGTGAGACAACTCCTCACACAATCACAAACTGGGTTGGCAATGCTTTGTGTGTTGATGAGAGGAAAGGCTTTGGACTTTCCAATGTTGTGTCAGTAACCACTTTCCAGCCATTCTTTTTGTCACTTCATCTTCCATATGCTGCTGTGCGAGGAGAGAGGCTTCCCATTTTGTTTACTGTCAACAATTATTTAGAAAAATGTTTACATGTGAGTGCAAAATTCCTATAACTTAAACAATATAATATTGTCAAAGTATTACTATAGGGTAATTATTTCTAAAGGTAAATTCAATCAGTGTTATAGCATTAACACACCTTCAAAATTTTTATCAGGCTGTTTTCTTTTCTTAAATAATTACAAGTGATAATTAGGCACACTTTTGTTCAAGAAATAATAGGCCGTTAATTTATTTTTTTTTACATTTTTTGTGTGTTCTGAAATGGCTTATGATTTTTCATTTTAACATATGGAATTTTATAATTTAGTTTAGTTTGAAAAATAAAGGTATAATTGCTGTGTGAGCTGTTGGCAAGGTCAAGTTTCTATAGATCATACTCTATTGTACTGCAGCAGATCTCTTTGGGTCTTCCATGGTTTTATTTTTCCTGGGATATCCATCTTTGTGCTGTCCTAGGAAATTAGTTTGCCATCAGTCTATAAACATTACAAAGTCATCTCAAGTCTGTACAATTCTGCAATGGTTACACAAAAAAATAGTTTGATACATTATAATTCTTAAATACTGCATACATCATTTCAGATTCAACTTGAACTTGATATGGGAAAAAATTTTGAAGTGCACAACAGCAAAGCAAACAAAGAACCACTGTGTCTTTGTGGTGGAAAGTCACACACTGCAAGGTTTTATGTAACACCAAAACAGATAGGACAATTACCAATAACTGCAAAGGTATGCACAATAGAAAGTTCTACCATTTACTTTGCTAGCTATCAAAATTTTAACTTTAAACTTTCAATTTTATACATAAACTATAAATCTGCCTAAGATAAATTTAAAAAAAACATCACTTTTTACAATAAGACAAATAACTCTCCACAAAACTTGTTACGTTAACAAACTTTTTTGGGCTCTAACCCCTTGATCCACAAACTGATCCATTAGGCCCTCTAACTTACCCCTAAAAAATCATTATTTAGAATAATGGTTTGCATGAATCCCTAAGGAGAATAATAACACAATGGGATGAAAAATAAAATCATTTATTAAACAATTAATTGATATAAATGTGAGACCACCACCAATTTATTAATCACCACAGTCCAGCATGCACAAAATAAATTGACAATATTTTTATAGTGGGATTTGAAATAATTATATGCAATCTAACATTTTTAGGCTGAAATAATTCCTGGTCTTTGTGATAATAGTATTGAAGTAGACACTAGGTATGTTGGGGTGTCAGACACAGTCAAGCGTCAGATGTTTGTCAAGGTAAATAGAAGTGTTCTAAATATTGTTTAGCTCATACTAAAAAATATTTTATGACTTTCATATTACATTTAAGTTAAGTTATTATTGAATGAATTATTTTAGAGGTTCATAAAAAATAAATAATATTCTTAGTATTATGTTTAAAATACCTCATCAGTAAACAAATATTATTATTATTTTTAACTGTCCTTTGTTTTCAGGCTGAGGGAGTTGAACAACAATTTACACATACATTATATATGTGTGCTAAGGGTAACTATTTTATTTTAAACTATTTATATTCTTTATTACCATGTGGTTGTCCTCATTATTTCAACTTCCTCTTTTTTAAGTCCCTTGTAAATTTTTTTCCCCATGTTCATTTTTGATCTAATAAATTTGTTCTACCTTAAACTTAAATTTGTTTCTTAATTCATTTGCCATACTTTATATTCTTAATTCATTTGCCATACTTTAATTAAATTCAAAGCCAAACATTTATGCTATAATTAGATACATGATTATATCAAAGTGAATTTGAAATATTTAAATGTGCATCACAGTTACTGAGCATAAATAAAATTATAACAGTTTCATAAATATTTTTCCTTTACAAACTCCAAAAGTAAGCCAACATATTTTGCTCTGTTATATTTAAATGTTAATTAGGAATGTAGGAAACTAATTTTTTTTAAAACTTGATTTCAAATGAAATTACAAAAAATTTCAGATGGTAAAGAAAAACAAGAAGACATTATTCTTCCAATGCCAGAAGATGCTGAAATTGTTAGAGACTCTTCAAGAGGACAAGTTACTGTCATTGGTCAGTGCATCTCTTCAATGAGAAACATTTTTTTTTTTTAAATTTATTTTTTAGATAAAACAAATGTTTATAATTCTTCAGGACAGAGAAAAATCGATTTAGGATATCTGACATAAGTGACACATAAAGATGTTAAAGATAATTAATTTTCTAATATAATTAAATAAATAAAGTGTTTCCAAAATGTAGGTGACATTATGGGGCCTGCTTTGACCAACCTTGACCATCTTGTGAGAATGCCAACTGGCTGTGGTGAACAAAATATGGTAGGGTTTGTCCCTAACATTTTTGTACTCAAATATCTCACAAATACTGGCAGAATTACAGAGGAGCTCAAGGATAAAGCTATCAAGCATTTGGAGATAGGTAGGTCAAACAGCAAAACAGATGTCTTATGTGTGTGGATACAAAAATATAATTTTTAAGTTGCTAAGATACATCTCCCACACATGATTTTAACGATTATCAAAAGCTAAAAATCAGTGTATGCATCTGAAAAGAGAAAAAGTCTTAATAAAAACCATCTCTTTTCTATAATTTACTTCTGGTGAGTCCTGTGTGAGTCCTCCTTTTTTTTTAAACTGCTCTTCCCCAACTCCATATGTTTTATTTTAATGGTACTGAGTGAGGTAATGCAAAGAAAATATTCTTAAGGAGGGGGGGGGGGGGGGAGCAATAAGATTAATCAATAAGGAGCCAAGGATAAGGTGTAGGACTCTCTTTAGGACTGTCTGTAGGCCTATTGTTTAAAGGCTGGCAGATAGGATGTAGGACTGTTTGTAGGCCTATTTCTAAAAGAACTGTACCCAGTTAAACCATGGTTATTAATTATAACTATTATTGGCCTATCCTTTTATGTAATGAATAATATAGAGGTGTCAGATAATTTATTTTTAAAAAGTAATTAGTAGCAACGCATTTTGTTCCAGGTTACCAAAAAGAGTTGACATATCGACATAATGATGGTTCTTACAGTGCATTTGGACAAAATGATCCAGAAGGAAGTGTTTGGTTGACTGCTTTTGTTATTAAATCCTATGCCCAAGCCAAACCTTATATCTACATTGATCCAAATGATATAAAAATGAGCCTACGCTTCCTTCAACGGAGTCAACTGGAGACTGGATGTTTCAGAGAGACAGGAAAGGTCTTCAGTTCTTATATGATGGGAGGAATGGGGAATGAAAAGAAGAAAGGGGAATCCTTCACTGCACTTACATCTTATGTGGCTATTGCTCTGCTCACGGCTGGGCTGAATGATACAGTAAGTGCTAAATTTATATTTCTTTGTCACCATCTAAAACAAAATTTTAGTACTCTTGAACTTGGTCTCATTATGGAGCATAATCAACATTACATTCTAATTGATAAAAATTAATATTTACATTTTCCAGGATCCTGCTATTGTTGGTGCTATGGACTGCCTAAGTAAAAACATAGAGAAAGAGAAAAACAAGATGGACCCTTATGTTATGTCCTTAGTAGCTTATGCTAATGCTCTTTACAAGTCGAATAGCCCAGCTACCATTAAAATAATAAGAGAATTGGAAGCAAAAGCTAAAAAAGATGGTAAACCAATTTACTTTCTGTCATCTATTACTGATTACTGTTGTGAATCTTATCTTTTTCCCCAGATAATTTTTTAAAAATCCTTTAATTTTATTTTTTTAAATATCATTCGCAAAAGAGATAATTAAAATTCAAATGGTTATTTGGCAGCATAAGTTAAGAAAATGCGTTGCTTTAAATTATTGTTTGGCTTTTTGTAAATTTAAAAAGTATCTTTCAATTAGGACGCTAAAGAATTTAATGTTTTTCTATATAATTCAAACAAGAACCCTATAAACCAACCAGGCAAATAGATATTGTTAAAACTGCCATACAATTTTATTGAAATAAAGTTTATTACCATTTCACATAATATCTATAAACTAATCATATTTAACATTAATTTGGGCTGCCTTGTAACCTACTTGTGGCATGCTTCCACTTCACAACCTATTATAACAGTTTGGAATTTATTATATTTAAAAAAAAATTCAGTTTCATTTGTTGAGCAAAAACAAATTCATAACTATTTCAATTGAAGGTTCTCAAAAGTACTGGTCTAGAGAAGAGCCCAAAGCAAGACCTGTTGACTCATGGCATTTGTATGCTGCTCCATCTGCTGAAGTAGAAATGACATCTTATGCTTTGATGGCCTATGTTACACACTATGGGCCTCGTGCTATTGAGCATACCCATGATGTTGCCATGTGGCTCTCCAAACAAAGAAATGCATTTGGTGGATTTTCCTCAACTCAGGTCCTAAATTTTCTTTTTTATAATGTTAGGCTCTTATTAAGTTTGACAGGATTTTAAAATAAAAAAACTGTTGTTTATTTTTAGTAATATTAGGCAGTAATTAATAATACATTTATTTAAAAAATAAAACATTAAAAATGAAATTATGTTTTGTAGTCTTACACAAAAGCAAAGAATTGATGAGCAAAAACCAGCATACAAATTCAATTAAGAGTTGTTATGTTTCCATTAAGAAATACCCTTGACTTTTAGTCTAAATAACCAAAGAACTTAGATATCCAAATCTAACTTTTCTTAATGTGCACTATTTTATGTGACATATATCATTTATTTTTACAGGACACTGTTATTGGTCTCAATGCTCTATCTGAGTTTGCCAGTTTATCTTTCACTAAAGGAAAACAAGAGCTGAAAGTTTCAGTAGCTGGTGAAAAATTATCTCAGGTGTTTAGCATTTCACAGAAAGAAAAGACAACACTTCTGCTACAAAGTACTCCAATTTCTGTTTTGCCTAACACACTTGTCATTGTTGCCAGAGGTGAAGGCTGTGCACTAGTTCAGGTAGTTATAGGTCTATTGATGAAGAATTTTTTTAAAATTTGTTAAACAATCAAACTAAATATAATATAAAAAATAAATGTTAATATTCACTGCAAGGTAACACGTCATGAAATCTTCAATTAACTGTCTCAAATATTAAATAGTGTAGGTATTTCTTATGATAACTATTGAAATAATTTTCTTTTAAAACTGTCTGATTTGTTACAGTTAAACGTCAACTACAATAAATTAGCAAAAGATCTAGCTGCAGATGGAAAATCTAATTTTCACTTGAAAATTACTCCTAAATTATATGAACCAGATATAGACCGATGTGATCGCCGTACAATAGTGATTAGTGTAGGGTAAGTACTTGTGCTTAAAAATAAACTTAATTCACAATGCAACATAATATATATAACATTTTAGCATATCAATGTTTGATTTTTTTTATGATCTTAAATGCAAATAATTTGTCCAAAGAAAAAAAGTTGATCTCATTATCAAAAGTAGTGATTTTTATTTGTTAAAAATGATGTTTATGAAAAGTAATTAATGTTGGATGAATAAATACAATATCTAAGTGGATCAGTTTTTTAGGAAATATATGATCAAATTCTGAAAGTATACTCATAGTGTGTAATTTTTTGAAATGATTTTTAGTTATCATTCTTTTGTAAATGTAACAAAAATATATTTTTTTAAATGTATAATTTTGTTCATTAAAATAACTGTGTAGATCTAAAGGCAATCAAAAGACACCTGTCGGTATGGCTCTTGTGACTTTGAAGCTGGTTACAAGTTGGTCTCCAATTGAGCAGTCTTTGACTAAGGTAGGCTGTGCTTTGTATTTAAAGAAAAAATCAACTTTTAAATCCTAAATAATAAACCAAATATGAGGATTTTTTTTTCTCATAGAAATTCTTATAAATATTTCTATTTGTTTTTTCATTTATTTTAGCTGGAATCCCTTTTCCCAAAGTTGGGAATGAAAAAGATTGAACATGATGAGGAAGAAGGCATCATTTCATTCTATTTTGATGAGGTATTGAATGGTTTTGAAGCAATATGTTGAATTATGAATAAAAATTAATAGTAGCCTGTCATCTGAATTTATTAAATTTAACAAATAAAGTTTCCAAACTGTTTGAATTATTTGTTTCACTATTTAAAAAAGATTAATTTATTTGTGATTGTTTTCTTAAGTTAAGCAAAAGAGCTAAAGAATTTTCAATAGATGTTGAGCAAGACAAAGAATTGGCTGTGTCTAGTCCAAAGGCTGCAGATGTCAAAGTATTCTATTATTATGAAACAGGTAGAGAAACATTAAAACAAGAATCTAATGATTTCAAAAATGTATTTAAATTCAAATCAAAACTAGATACTAGGTGATATTAATACAAAGTTATAATATAATAAATAATATTATTCCATATGAATATATGACTTCATTTTTTTTTAAAAAAACAGTCTTTTGACACCCTACAACTAACTGCTAAATGTTTGCCACACATCATTCAATTATTTAAAGAAAATAAATTCTTTCAATGAGGAGCATCAAACACAAAATATATAATAATACTTTATTATACTAATGGTCCTGTTCTTAGCTAGTAAAATATCCCTTCTAATTTGTTAAAACTCTGTTTGTATCCAAATCATGTGACTCATTGGTATGTCATTTCAGTTCACACTAGTTCTACCTAGTTTAAAATAATTAGGCCACCATGCAGCAACCCCTTCACCCAAAATTTAAAAAAAATATGTAAAAAATAATAATAATTAATACACATCATTGTAAAGTTATATTCAAAACCATTTGTATGTTGCAAATCATGCCTGAAAATATTTTTTTAATTTGTTTTTAAGTTTTATGAACTTACATTTTTTTTCCTTCCAAAACCAGTGTGATAAAACCTCAGAAGCACTAACCAAAACCATATTTGCCCAACTTTATAAAAATACATAATACCTTAAGAAGCACTGCAACATTTCTATTAATTAAAATTGTTGTTTAAATTATATGTCCATTTTAATGATTGTTTCTTTCAGATATATCACATGTTCAGTCTTATGAACTGAAAACCATTTGTGGCACAAAACTTGAAATTCCTAGAAAGAAGCCTGAAACTTCTGACCCACAAGCACCAATGGAAACTCAGACGAGGATTGGTTAGCTATAATTATAGACTTACTTGTGACCAATTATATTTTTAAAAAATATCTTGTGATCTCAGCTGTACTAATGCACTGTAACTTTCAAATATTTCTTTTAAAATTATACTATTTTAATTTTTTGAAAACACTTTTTCATGTATTTAACAATTTTATTTACAACAGATGTGAGTGCAGAATTGCCAAGATTTTCTGTAAGTTGAATACCTTTATGTTCTTTAAAATAAAAAATATTCATTGAAAAGTGAAGTTAAGATACATATTTGAAATGGATTCTAACAGTAGTTTTGACATCTATAAAAGAGCATCATTTGATTTTTTAGAATAATATATTTATTTCAGTTTTGATCTCAAGAACTTTAATTTATCACTTGATAAAACTATTTGATGTGAAAGCCATCTCTTCATGGCTCAAAGTTGTAACAAATATATTATCTTATGCATTATTTTCAACTATAATTATATAAATATTCATATTGGTTCATTTAAAAAAGCCTACCTTGAAAGAATCTTATAGGTATAGATTTTTTGCAGTCACAGGCTGAAGGTGACATATGCCCAATTTGCATTCGAATTTCATCAGTGCCTGAGAATTTCAAAGATATGGTTTGCAATTCTTCTGCAGGTAGATTTAGCACAAAGATTTTAATTTTTGTATTTGTTTTGTTTAAAATCAAATTTTTTAGAAATTAAATATCTCTTTTATTAAATGCTCTTTAATTTTCTTTGTGTGTCTTATTTCACAGCATTAAAGACTAATGCCCAACCCAATTACATAGCCTAAAAATAAAAAACATTTTGATGAAATTATTAAAAGCTTGCATAAAGCAAAACTGTGGCAAATTTAACTTAAAAGAAAAGAAATGTAATGTAGGCCCTATTTAAGAAATTTTGCTGAAAAATATTTTTATTTTGTTTATTTCAGCTTACAAAGCTATGGCTAAAACAGGTGCTAAGAAACCCATTAAGCTTCTTCAGGATTTGCGCCCATCTAACATAGTAAAGAAAATCAACATTTTTGCAGATTTTATCATCCCTTCAGGTTGCAAGTGTGCACTGGTGCAAAATCCAAGTGAAAGTAAGTTAAGCAACAAATGTTATTAGTGTGTATCACAGTTATTTTATCCTCAATTAGGTTAGTAGAAGACAGTGGTGTGCTGCCAATCAAGCAAAAACTGGTTTGGTTCTTGTCTGTGAATCGATTGCTTTCACTAGACCAGGCAATGGATACTATTTCCACACTCTAATTGTGTCATAATAATTACCAAGAGATTGAAAACTTCAATTTTAAGTTTAAACTATTAAATTTATAAAATTGTCTATTTCTTTCTATTTTGGATTTTTTTAAACATTGTTTTTATTATTTTGACATTTTTAATAACCTGTTCAGTAGAATAGTGAAAAATAAACAGTTGGTTTTGCCACAACTGGACTGAACCATCCTCAGTAGGCCTACAGCCTGTTAGAAGTTGGTTATGATCACACTTTTGATTTCAATGTTTGTCATTCTATCTCTTTAGATCAAAAAGTCCTTTTCCTTCTGAGTAAGCAAGTAAAAGAGGCTGATCCTGTCATCAAACTGGAACGTAGCTCAGTGATTGCTGTTGGTAGTAGCAGATTTACTAAGGCAGTTAGACAAGCACAGAGGACATGTCCATTGAAAACAAAACGTGCCACTAAACAATGAATTAATATTTGACTTTTACTGATAATAGGAAAATAATAAATTAAAAGTTTAACCATTTACACCTTTGAAGTTGAATGTTTTGGGATATGTGATGCTGCAAAACACATGTTTTCTGTGGCAAATGAAACAGGAAAACACTGGATTTTAATTGCATAATTTACAGTATTGAGCGACATCTTTTCAAATGTAATGGGTTCTGGTAAAAGCTTTTATTCTTCAAAATTCCAAAAGTCAAAAAATTTTTTTTAGTTCTTCCTCTTAAAAGTAATCATTGAAGATCTTAAATAAGGATCTTATTGCTGTACTAAATTTTGCTTTATTATGAAGAAAAAAATTACTTTGACTTTTAGCTTAGCTTTGGAGTTTTTTTTAAATTTGAATAGTTTCTCTACCTTTCTCATGACAGCAGTTTAAAAATATTGTGGATCAACAGTCATGCGAAACCATTGATGGACATTTTTTTTAGTGCATCACTAAACTAAATAAAAAAAAACTTACTCATCAAAATCCAATTACTATTTAACCTTAAATTTAAAAGCATGATATATTTGTATAAGTCTTTAAATGATCTTAATCATTATAATAGAGAACAACTAAGAATCTATTAAAACTGTATCATCCCTAAATATTATCATGATCTAAGAGTTATTAGCTGGAAGTGAACAAGCCAAACATAGTTTAGGAATATAGGTCTATCTTATCTTAAATATAACCATCATTTGCATTGTTATAGTTTGGAAAGTTGAAGTTCTTGAAATTAATTAACATTTTTTTTTTTATATCATTGAATACTCATCAAGTAAATGTTCTGTGATGTTTTCATATCTCTGGATTAAATTTTGTAACCACTACTCACTCTCCTCTTCAAACAAACAATATTTTGTTTTACTTTTTAAACTTCCATGTTAATTATTGAGCAGAATGGCATCAGTATATTATAATTATATATTTGAATTTTATACATTTAATAAAAAATTTGTTTAGTTGCATAAGTGTTCTTTTAATGTAAATTAAGATATTTAATGTTTTAAACGTAGACTAGAAACACATGTAAAGTCAATATTTAAAAAAAAAATAAAAAAGGCTTAAGCCTACCTCTTTCAATAAATAATCCACATTAAAGTGGGTCTATTTAATTTAAACTACCTAAGCCAAGTGTAATAAGAACAATGCTGTCCAGATGCTTTTCAGAAGGTGGAGGACGGGATCAAAATTATTACTATTTCCAACTATGCTAGCTCGGCACCCTCCAACTCTGTTATTAATGAACTTATTGTATTTTTTAAATGGTAAGTTTAAATAGGAATAAATATAGGCCTACTAATACATGTAAGCGAATTTAAATTGATAGACTCAATCCCATAAAGAGGATGCTGAACATGTTCGTATTTTAAAAGTTAAAAATTTGCCACAGCGTCATTTCACGGCTCCATGTGATTCCCATCAACTTGATAAACTTCCCGAGTTTGGGTGAGTAATTGTTGGTAGCTGCAATAATATGTAGCCTACTAGTTATAACTCGTCAAACATTGGCGACGCCGATGCAGGAGCTTCCCATCTACTCAAGTTACTTGACAAAACATGAACTCAAGTAACGCACATTAAAATATCGCAATTTCCGCTACAACCCTTCCCCATGTGATAGGTCAGAGCACACATTTTAGTTCACGCCCATGATATACATACTATTTTAATATTCTGATGCCCCAACCTCTTTTAAACGAAATATTTATTACACCATATTTAAATTTAGACATTTCATTTTTCAAAAATAAAAGAAAATATTACGCACCAAACGCATTTGCGTTATTTTAAAAAAAAAATCATTTAGTGCACTTATCGGAAATTATATGTTGCACGCTATCCGGAAATGGACGCAGTCACACAAGCACAATATAAGAGATTGTACTCATTTCAATTTGTAACTTCCGATTTAAGATTTTATGTTAAATGTCTAAGGCTTTCTAGTAAAGTTTCTCTTGTTTGGCGATATCGATGGATTCTTTGATGTTACAAAAAGGTAGGCAGGGGCTGGATTTCCCTTAGGGCCAACCTAGGCCATGGCCTAGGGCGCAGTAGTTATTAGGCACTTATACAGAAGAAATAACCAAATATTTCCAAGTTTTGCAGTGTTATTTGAAAAGGCCAAACACAAATCTATTTTTAAAAAGTTACATCAAATGCTTATACATAAAAAAAATAAATGGAGAGGTGCATTTACGTTGCGTGTCACTAATCTGACACGCTTTTTATGTTATGTTTATTTTTGCCACATATTTTTATATGAAACGCGGTGAGCCCGTCCATAAGCTGGGTTACGCGCTCTATAAGACCACTGTAATTATAGTAATAGTAATCTGACAACTTTTCGCTGTCTTGCTCAATGACAGACAAAAAGTGCTTATTCGCTGATTCTCACACTCAGCGTAAACCACTTGTCGGGGCAATGTTAGTGCTTCCAAGTGATTAATGACGCCCACAGTACCCTATCTGGTTTAAAATCACTTGGCTACAACTTGACTTCTACACATCTACTGATAGTAGGCACGCGAAATATAGGCCTGCCGTTACCACTTTTAATATACTGCTGAGTTTACTGATGACCGTAAGACTGAAGGACGTAAACAGGCAACAATTGACAGAGTGTTTGACAAATTATTGAAGCAGATTTAACAAGATCCCTAGAGTTCGATGAAACAACTGACACCTTGCCATGGACACAAGCGTGAGAAGAATTAATTCTGGTCGGTATTGAAGATGACGCGAAGAAATTTGATGGGAAGAAGTTTTGTTTTGTTATTGTAGGTGTTGATGTTATGTGATTTCATAAGCAGTGCAGTAATGTACCTATCAATTAAAACATAATGTGATTCAAAGAAGTGGCATGGCTAGGTCTTGTGTCACCTGGTCCGGTAAACTCATGGTGTCCGAGCCGTTCTTAGGTATAGGCAAACTAGGCGACCACCTAGAGCCTGACTGTCAAGGGGGCCCCGTCGAGCGCTTTTTTAAGGTACGCCTTGCAAGTCTATATATTTCAGAACTACACATTTTCTCTAGTGGCGGAATTATGCCGGGGGGGGGCGCATTTTTCAGATTTTTTTTAAGGTACGCCTTGCAAGTCTATATATTTCAGAACTACACATTTTCTCTAGTGGCGGAATTATGCCGGGGGGGGGCGCATTTTTCAGATTTTTTTGGGGGGGGGGCAGTGACAGTGGCAAGAGGCGTAGCTAAGGGGGCAGAGGGGGGACAGATATCCCCAATGCACCATAATAACGGGATGCCTAAATGGTGTGTGATGGTATTTAATGCATCAAAATTTTCATAATTGAGGAAATAAAAAGGGGGGGGGGCGTGAAAGTGAATCAATGTCCCCCCCCCCCGGCGCCAACAACTGTAGCTACGCCTCTGCAGGTGAGGCGGGTTGGGTGATCAGCCGAGATGACAATTTGTCTTTATATGGACGGGCAGGATTTTATGACAAATGCAGAAGTTAAATCGTTGATTGGAACGTGGCATAAGTCTGGGTGACTAGGTGACCGAATGGTCTAAGCTGAGCAAACCTCAAGTTGGTGGTTTGGAGCCAAATGCCAGTCAAGCAAAAACTCAGTCAAGGAAACTCTGAAGGAAGGAGCACTCCACAGCAAAATTTGGATTATTTCAAATCAAAAGGTACTTTGGAGTACACCTGAATTCAATGTTTTTCTTAGACTAAAGCATCTGATGAAGGAATTTTTCAATCGTCAGAGGGTGACACTATGGCGTTCAGTGCCATACTTATATTCAAACATATACTGCAACATTGATCAGCGTGGGGGAAAGGGTGCAGAATTTGAGGGTGCTGAAGACCATCGCGCATATTTAAAAGGGGATGCATTTTGGTGCATACTTAAATTTGATATTTCTTTCAGGCAATTTTGAGGGGGGATTTGAGACTTTCCTCTGCGAAGCGCTAAGATTAGCCATTATTAGGAATATCTCTTACTTGCTTCAGCCCAACATGAACTAAATACATTCCAATTGAGGCGTCCTTGCAGGTATGCATTTTCCCTAGCTTAATATCGTGTATTACAACGTTACAGTCCCCAGTACATTTTTTATAAATTAAAAATAAAGTAATACATTTTAGCAAATACTTCAAATTAAGTTTTGCAACATTCTACACTTGGAGAGCAACAGAAGAGATGCTAGTTTAAATAATGTAGGCGTCACTTAACCTTAGAAACATCGTGTGAGCTCAGCAATCCCTATAACTGCAGTAGGCCTTGGATATTTAAGGCTTTTAGATGTGATGTGAAAATTGCCTTATTAATCATCTTTCAATGCAAGGTTGGTGGAGGACAAAACCAAAAAGTGGCAAAAAAGGGTCTCGCAAAGTCAAGTGACAACTCTGCTTGACGTAGTTGTGTTATGCAAATATTTTTTTTTGTTATTTACTAAATAGTATGTGGCTTTCATTAAAAAAATATATATATCTTTGGGGGATATCTACATAGTAAATAAATGAATTTAAACAAAATTTTTATCTTGAATAAATATTATTTTTTAAAAATTATCCATGCAAACAGATGGGGCAATTTGTTTATTATTCTAATTTTAAAAATATAAAGCTGGTGGGAATTTAATAAATATTGACTAAATATTTTATTGAACTTCTGTGATTCAGGAAACTTTGTTACAAACGAAGCACGTTTAAAGAAAACACAAACTTTTTCGATATAATAATTAATGAAATGTGCATCATGTGTATGCTCGCGTTAAATTCTTAATTTAAAAAAAAACAACAAAAAAAACTCTCAATTTTTAAGTTTCTGTCTTATATAACTCAACATTCATGGACTCGAGTACATTAATAGGTATGCCAATTAAAATATTTTTAAAGGCTAAAATCATTATATAAATTATAGTTAACACCTATCCCTACTTTACAAGTAATGATTTTATAATGAAATGTAATTAGAGAACAGACTGCGTATGTTTGATACTTTAAGAAATATTATTAGAATTGTGGTCCTTGATCTTGATGTAAAGGATTTTAATGCATTGTTATTAAAGTCTTACATTTTTTTTTTTTGACTCTGGTAAAACTTGGAAACATTTACCAAAGGTTATTATTACACGTAAGTTGATTATTATAAGTATATTATTTTCATTTTTGTTCAACATATAAAATGATGTTAGCAGGGCATTTTCGTGATGGAAACCACTTTTACTTTTGAAAATTCATTTATTAATTATGTGGTTAAGCCCCAAACACCATTCAAACCCACTTTGGTGCCCCTGTTAGTGTAGCACCCGGGGACGTATGCCCCCTCTGCAATCCCTTAGCTACACCTCTACCCCGTTGCACTCCCCCCCCCCCCCCCCCCCAAACCTCCCCCCCCCCCCCCCCGAAAAACTGAAAACCCCCCCCCCCCCCCGAGGAAAAAAGTCTGAAAAAAACACTGACTAAATTTGGTAAGGTGTGGAACATTTACGTGTGATCGGTTAACATTTCCTGAAATTAGTTAAGACAAAGTTGTGCCTGCTCTACAAATGTGCAATTTTCCAGTTTGGTGTCACCCCTGAGATGGTGGCACCCGGTGCGGTTCGCACCCTCGCAGCCCCCTTGCAACGCCACTGGTGTAAAGACTATAAAGATTGTAATTATGTTTCAAATATAATATTTGAATATTCCTATTCCATTTTAAATTATAAATCTACATTTGGGCGGGGAAGAGGGGGGGGGGGGTTGGGGCAGAATTATATGATTTGGCCTATGAGGTAGGAATATGTAAATCCGGCTGTGACAGTAGGCCTAAGTTGGGGGGGGGGGGGGGAGGGGGGGCAGGACAGGAGGTAATGTCTGAATGAGAGTGGGCC